TATGGACCTCACTTTGTGGACGGGGGCATTGTCATGCTAAAACAGGAAAGGGCCTTCCCCAAACTGTTGCCACAAAGTTGGAAGCACAGAATCGTCTAGAATGTCATTGAATGCTGTAGCATTAAGATTTCCCTTCACTGGAACTAAGGGGCCTAGCCCGAAACATGAAAAACAGCCCAAGACCATTATTCCTCCTCCTTACAGTTGGCACTATCCATTGGGGCAACTAGCGTTCTCCTGGCATCCGCCAAACCCAGATTTGTCTGTCGGACTGCCAGATGGTGAACCGTGATTCATCACTCCAGTGAACACGTTTCCAGAGTCCAATGGCGGAAAGCTTTACACCACCCCAGCCGACGCTTGGCATTGCGCATGGTGATCATAGGCTTGTGTGCGGCTGCTCGGCCATGGAAACCCATTTCATGAAGCTCCCAACGAACAGTTCTTGTGCTGACGTTGCTTCCAGAGGCAGTTTGGAACTCAATAGTGAGTGTTGCAACCAAGGACAGATGATTTCTAAGCGCTACGCGCTTCAGCACTCGACGGTCCCGTTCTGTGAGCTTGTTTGGCCTACCATTTCACGGCTGAGCCGTTGTTGCTCTTAGACATTTCCACTTCACAATAACAGCACTTACAGTTGACCGGGCAGCTCTAGCAGGGCAGAAATTTGACGAACTGACGGTGCCATGTTGAAAGTCACTGAGCTCTTCAGTAAGGCCATTCTACTGCCACTGTTTGTCTATGGAGATTGCATGGCGGTGTGCTCGATTTTATACACCAGTCAGCAACGGGTGTGGCTAAAATAGCTGAATCCACTAATTTGAAGGGGTGTCCACATACTGCTGTATAGATAGGTGTAAGTGCCCTCATACAGACAGTATAATCTTTGCTTTTAAAGCAGCATGGGCGTGAAAAAGAGCTCCCGCATAAAACCAATCTTAGGTCCTGTGAGAGTGGGTTGTTGTGGGTCTGCATGCCCATTTGGTCTTGTCTGAGTGAGAGCCCTTTCACAAGAGTCTGTTACTCTATTACACCACTGTGGTGGGTTTGATGAAGGCTTTTGATCGTAGATTAGAAATGTTTGGTTTCTGCTTCTGAAGAAGTCCATTGATGATTGGTTTTTAGCATCAAACCATGGTGTAACCCACAGCCTTGTGTTGGGCCTACAGAGATACAGCCTTAAACCAGAGGTGAATCAATAAGAGCTGTCTTTCTAAAGGGGGAAAGTATGTGTGTGTCACTTTGTGTCACAGAGCTGTCACACACTCTCTGGTCTGTCTCTGTCTCTGGTCTGTCTCTGGTCTGTCTCTCTGTCTCTGTTCTGTTTCTGGTCTGTCTCTGGTCTGTCTCTGGTCTGTCTCTGTCTCTGGTCTGTCTCTGGTCTGTCTCTTTCTCTGGTCTGTCTTTCTCTGGTCTGTCTCTGGTCTGTCTCTGGTCTGTCTCTTTCTCTGGTCTGTCCCTTTCTCTGGTCTGTCTCTGGTCTGTCTCTGTCTCTGGTCTGTCTCTGGTCTGTCTCTGGTCTGTCTCTTTCTCTGGTCTGTCTCTTTCTCTGGTAATGTCTCTGGTCCTGCCTCTGTCTCTGGTCTGTCCTCTCTGGCTGTCTCGTCCTCCTGGTCTGTTCTCTGGGCTGTCTCTTCTGCTCTGGTCTGTCCTTCTGGTCTGTCTCTGTCGCGTCTCTGGTCTGTCTCTGGTCTGTCTCTTTCTCCTCTGGTCTGTCGTTCTTCTCTGGTCTGTCCTGGTCTGGTCCTCGTCTCTGGTCCTGTCCTCTGTCTCTGGTCTGCCTCTTGGTCTGGTCTCTTCTCTGGTCTGTCTCTGTTCTCTGGTCTGTCTCTGGTCCTGTCTCGGTCCCTGTCTCTGGGCTGTCCTGCGCGGGCTCTGGTCCTGTTCATCTGGTCTGGTCTCTTTCTCTCTGGTCTGTCCTTCTCTGGTCTGTCCTCTGGTCCTGTCTCTGGTCTGTCGCTGGCTCTGGTCTGTCCTCTTGGCTGTCTCTTTCCTGGTCTGTCCCTGTCCTCTGGTCGTTCTCTCTGGTCTGTCCTCTGGTCCTGTCCTCTTCGGTCTCTGGTCTGTCTCTGGTCTGTTCTCTTTCCCTCTGGTCTGTCCTGGTCTGGTCCTGTCTCTGGTCCTGTCCTCTGGTCTGTACTCTTCCTCTGGTCTGTCTCTTTCTCTGGTCTGTCTCTTTCTCTGGTCTGTCTCTTTCTCTGGTCTGTCTCTCTGGTCTCTGGTCTGTCTCTTTCTCTGGTCTGTCTCTTTCTCTGGTCTGTCTCTGGTCTGTCTCTTTCTCTGGTCTGTCTCTTTCTCTGGTCTGTCTCTTTCTCTGGTCTGTCTCTGGTCTGTCTCTTTCTCTGGTCTGTCTCTTTCTCTGGTCTGTCTCTGTCTCTGTCTCTGTCTCTGTCTCTGTCTCTGGTCTGTCTCTGGTCTGTCTCTGTCTCTGGTCTGTCTCTGGTCTGTCTCTGGTCTTTCTCTGTCTCTGGTCTGTCTCTGGTCCTGTCTCTGGTCTGTCTCTGGTCTGTCTCCGTCTCTGGTCTTTCTCTGTCTCTGTCTCTGTCTCTGGCCTGTCTCTGGTCTCTCTCTGGTCTGTCTCCGTCTCTGGTCTTTCTCTGTCTCTGTCTCTGTCTCTGGCCTGTCTCTGTCTATGCTTTTTTAAATCCACTAGCCATAGCCACTAGCCAATAGATATGTCAGTCTGCCGGCATAGACTTCTATTGCAGTAACGTTAAAGGGCTCTGGCTAGTATTACTTAGCCAGCTAGAAGGATGAAGTATGAAGTTAACGTTAAACAGAGCCTGACCTCAGCAGAAGCAGAAAAATAGGCTACTAAGTTCTCATAATAACTTTTCTTTACAGAGAGCAGGCTACTGAGACAGACTGATGTGGTGCTCAGTAGTGAGGCTACTGAGACAGACTGATGTGGTGCTCAGTAGTGAGGCTACTGAGACAGACTGATGTGGTGCTCAGTAGTGAGGCTACTGAGACAGACTGATGTGGTGCTCAGTAGTGAGGCTGAGACAGACTGATGTGGTGCTCAGTAGTGAGGCTGAGGCAGACTGATGTGGTGCTCAGTAGTGAGGCTACTGAGACAGACAGTGATGTGGTGCTCAGTAGTGAGGCTACTGAGGCAGACAGTGATGTGGTGCTCAGTAGTGAGGCTACTGAGGCAGACAGTGATGTGGTGCTCAGTAGTGAGGCTACTGAGACAGACTGTGATGTGGTGCTCAGTAGTGAGGCTACTGAGACAGACAGTGATGTGGTGCTCAGTAGTGAGGCTGAGGCAGACAGTGATGTGGTGCTCAGTAGTGAGGCTACTGAGGCAGACAATGATGTGGTGCTCAGTAGTGAGGCTGAGGCAGACAGTGATGTGGTGCTCAGTAGTGAGGCTACTGAGGCAGACAATGATGTGGTGCTCAGTAGTGAGGCTGAGGCAGACAGTGATGTGGTGCTCAGTAGTGAGGCTGAGACAGACAGTGATGTGGTGCTCAGTAGTGAGGCTGAGGCAGACAGTGATGTGGTGCTCAGTAGTGAGGCTCCTGAAACAGACAGTGATGTGGTGCTCAGTAGTGAGGCTGAGCAGACAGTGATGTGGTGCTCAGTAGTGAGGCTTGAGGACAGACAGTGATGTGGTGCTCAGTAGTGAGGCTTGAGACAGACAGTGATTGTGCTCAGTAGTGAGGCTGAGGCAGACAGTGATGTGGTGCTCAGTAGTGAGGCTACTGAGACAGACAGTGATGTGGTGCTCAGTAGTGAGGCTACTGAGACAGACAGTGATGTGGTGCTCAGTAGTGAGGCTGAGACAGACAGTGATGTGGCGCTCAGTAGTGAGGCTGAGGCAGACAGTGATGTGGTGCTCAGTAGTGAGGCTGAGGCAGGCTGCAATGCATGCAGGAGGAAGAAGAGGAGACAGAGAGAGAGGAAGCAGCCAGAGAGGTTAGTACAGTGGTTCCCAAACTTTGGGGAATCTTTACTAATCTTATCAAACAAGTAAAAAATAAATATGAACATCTGCACATGGCCTATGTTCCCATTCGGCCAACATTAAAATGAAACAGTACAGCTCTAAAAATATCATATACGTTTTCGTTTTGTCGCTGATGCTATGTGTCAGTGTGAATCATTTCTCATATTTCTCCTCTTTCAGGGGTATAACATTAAAACTGTATAGCTAATAGTCTATGCCTTTGTAGATGGACTGAGGTGAATGAACCTACAGCAGCCAAGGTGATAATGACTGGGGGCATTTCTGCTTGTTTGTGCTGTTCTCCAAATAGCATTTTATAGGTTTGTCATCCCCCCCCACCCCCCCCCCACCCCTTCTGTTCCGGACCTCACTAAAACTCAAACCCTAGTTACAGCCCTGGGTGGGATGACCAGAGGGTGGAGGGAGAGATCATCTGCCCCGTAAGAGCCATTATCCACTGTGAAAATGGCCTCTTGAACTCCCAAAATGTCCCCGTCCACCTAGAACCTAAAACAGAGAAAGCTGTCATTAAAATTCCAAACATTCCTCCAAATGTACCACCTGAAAGGACAGGACACTGCTGACAGGACACTGCTGACAGGACACTGCTGACAGGACACTGTGGCTGCTGGTTTTATGGTTTGGGACGTGCCATCCTTGAGAGTCCACGTGTAATGGACCAATTCTGGTTTTAAAGGCGGTTTTACATAATACCATACTTGATATTCACTCTGGGGAAGATCCATATGATGAAATAGAAAACGGACAGAAAGTACGGCCAACTGGAGTTCAAATAACGGTTGCTTTTGAGTAGGAGGTTAGTGAGAATTGATTTCTGACATAACAGCACTCTACATTCAGCATCTCTGAAGACTCACACAATGAATGATTGCCTACACACCTGGGTCCCTTTGTCTGGACTATACTTTTTAAACCTCTGCTCCACAGCTTTGAACACATTTAGTCCCTTTCCCTAATGCTAGTTTTTAAAGCTAATCTACTCCCTTTCTTTGGCGACAGTCAGTACTCACCCGTAGGTGTCAGTAGTTCACAGAGGCGTCTCCCTCTTGTATAAGGCAGCGCTGCTGGGCCCTTCAAACTGCAGCTTGATGGCCTGTTTGAGGTTGAGCTGGGGGTCCGTGGTCGTCATGACCACCGTGGAGTCAGCAGATAAGGCAGTAGTGGGGGATAGGGACATCTTCTGGTTCTCCTCCCATGTCCCTCTCTGGGAAGGGCTCTGGAGCTGGTAAGGGTAGCCCGTAGGGGGACTGTCCCTGTTTTTGGGGCCATCTTGTCCAGGCGTCACCCCTAGAGAAGCCATGACAGAGTTCCACCTCCCCGCTCCGTACTGAGGCCTCTCCTCCTGGATCAGGCTGGGGGGTTTGTGTTTACTGGGATAGTCGAACCCTCTTGGGTAAGGCTGTTCGGAGTCATGCACCATGGCCGTGACTGTGCAGAGAGTGGGTGGAGGAGGACTGGCCATGGGGCACCGGGCCATGCGGCTGCTGTCGTGCAGGCTGCCATGGGCGGAGCCGGGCGGGGGCAGGGTGGAGGGGCGGGAGCGGCTGCGGGGGAGGGAGTGCTGCTGGATCTGCTGGGTGAAAGAGAGGCTGTCAGCGGGGACGGTCTGCATCGTGGCCAGGGAGTGGGCTGTGGAGGAGGATGTCTGGGAGCTCTGGTTGGAGTGGAAGCGATCGGCCGTGGAGCCTGGGGAGCAGGAGGCCGAGGCTGAGGAGGTGGAGGTGGTGGCCCCGTTACTCCCTGAGCAGGCTGAGTACGGGCTTTTCATAGTGGATGACTGGGGTGACCGGGTGTTCGATTGGCGCAGAAGGCCTGGATACGGTTTGGCTCCGTAGCTCTCCAGCAGCCTGACGATGGTGAAGTGGCCCCTCTTCCCGGCCACCTTGACGGGGCTGCGGCCGTACTTGTCTATGTGGTCAGGGTTGGCCCCTCTCTCCAGCAGCATAGCCACGATGTTGGCGTGGCCCTCCTGAGCCGCGATGCTCAGTGCCGTGGCCCCCTGCTGGTGGCAGGCCAGATCCACGTTGACTCCCCTGACCTCCAGGAGCAGACGGCCAGGCTCCACATGACCCCGCCAGGCTACAGAGTGCAGGGGAGGTCGTCCCTCCCCGTCCTGGGCGTTAGCGTCCGCCCCATGGCTCACCAGCAGCCCCACCGCCTCCAGGTTGCCCTGCCAGGAGGCCACGTGCAGCGCCGTGCGCCCCTCCCCGTCCCGGGACTCCAGGGGCACGCCCCCTTTCTCCATGAGGAGGGCAGCCATGTCCAGATTGCCCTCCAGCACCAGGAGATAGAGCAGCGGGCGGCCCTCTGCGTCCCGTACGTCCGTGTCCGTGCCCCGCCTCATCAGTAGCTCCACCACCTCAGCGTGGCCCTCCAGGGCGGCGGCGCTCAGTGCAGAGTGGCCGTCATACGCCCGGTGGTCGATGGGTGAGCGGCGGTCCAGCAGGAGCCTCACCGTGCCACTGTGGCCCTCCTGCGCGGCCAGTATGAGGGGTGTCCGTCCCTCGATGTCCATCTCTCCGACACGCGCCATGCTCCCACGCTCCGTCAGGACGGCACAGACCCCCCGGTGGCCCTCGCAGGCGGCGGCGTGCAGCGGGGTCCAGCCCAGATCGTCTTTATGGGTCTCATCCAGCCCTCGGTCCAGGAGAGCGCTGACCACCTCCACGCTGCCCCGTGCTGCTGCCAGGCTCAGAGCTGTACGACCCTCCCCGTCGATGCTATCCACCGCCGCGCCCCAGAAAAGCACCCTGCCCACTGTCTTAGTATGGCCCATGGCGGCAGCCGCCAAAATCGGGGTGACAGCAGGAGAGGTGGCGGCGTCAGGCCCGGCGCTCTCGTCTACATCAGCCCCGGCCTCTAACAATAGTTCTACCACCTCCTCATGACCTTCATACGCCGCCAGCAGCAGAGGGGTCATCCCATCCCGGTCCCTGTGCCCTGGGTCAGCCCCTCGCTCCAACAGCAGGCTGGCCACGTCTCCATAACCTTTGACCCCGGCTGTTGTGCGCACACAGAGGGCAGCCACAGACAGGGCAGTACGTCCATCTCCATCAGGCCAAGTCGACCTCCGCCCCGTGGTCTAGCAGGATCTCTACCGCCTCCCGGTGGCCCATGTAGGCGGCGGCGATCAGCGGCGTGCGGCCCTCCCGGTCTGCCTTTTCCACCTGTACCCTGTGGTCCAGCAGCGTGAGGAGGATCTCCTCGTGACCCCCCCAGGCTGCCGCCCTTAGCGCCGACCGGCCCTCCGCATCACAACCGTCCACGTCCGCCCCCGCATCTAGCAGCAGGTGCACTGCCTCAGTGTGACCACCCCAGGCCGCTGACCGTAAGGCTGTCCAGCCCTCGCTGTCCGCGTGTTCCACCATCCTCACGGCGGTCTCCGGCTCCTGACCCCTGGCCCAGTCCAGCAGCATCCCTAGCACCCTAACATGGCCGTGCCTGGCAGACAGCGTCAGGGGAGTCTGGCCCTGGTGGTCACTGATCAGAGGGTCAGCCCCTCTGGACAGGAGCAGGTCGGCCACGTCGGCTGAGCCTGCTTGGGCCGCACTGGCCAGCAAGGTGCGTCCGTCTGTGGGGTCGGTCCGGTTCACACTGACCCCGCTGTCCAAGAGCACCCTCACTGAGTCCTGCCTCTCCAGCGCCCGCCGGACGATGGTCCCCCCTCGTCCTGCACAGTGTACCCCCATGCTGGGACCTCTGTCTGGGGTGCAGGAGGGAGGGAACACCCCGCTCTTCATCAGCAGCTGGAGGACCTCCTGCCTGACCAGGAAAGGGGGCTGAGAAGCAGGGGAAGAGGGGTGAGAGGAGCTAGCCAGAGGGGGCACATCAGCCCACAAGAGCCACAGGGCCAGGAAGGCAGGGTTGTCCTTGTGCATGCCTGAGCTGATCAGGTGCGAGCCCATCTGACAGGTGTCCTCGGTGTTAAGGTGTGGGGCGCGCAGGGTGAGAGCCATGGCCAGCATGGTGTGACCCTCAGACATGCTACAAAGATACCTCTGGGTGCAGTACTTCACGTCCGTCAGCCACTCTGCAAAACTAGCATGGAACAGAAGCTTGCTGCCTCCCGGCCCATCAATGAGCAGCGTGGACAGATCCTTTAGCCTGCTCTGGAAGTCCAGAGGGCTGAGGGACATGTCCTGGGTCCAGGTGGCGGTGTAGATCTCCTGGGTGGTGAGGGGCCTAGGGGAGGCCAGGAGGGTGTTGAGGAGGGGCCTGACCTGGAGGAACAGGCCCCTGGGGAAGAGTCTCTGGCAGAGCCACAGGTAGAGGCCGTTGAGGGTCCCGGGGATGTCTCGGATCTCCCGGAGCCCCACCAGGGCCGCCGTCACGCCGTCCAGCACCTGCTCCAGGAACAGGAAGCAACCGCCACTCTTGATGTGCAGCAGGTTGAGCATGTCGGCCGTCTCAGGGGTCAGCTGACGGCGGAGCGCCCCTTCCTGGTCCAGCCTCCGCAGGATGTACTGCTGCACGTCACGCACCGGAGCCGGCTTCCGCAGGTCGTCCAGACACAGTTTACGGAAACCTGGAGGAGGGAGGAGAGAGAGAGAGAGAGAGAGAGAGAGAGAGAGAGAGAGAGAGAGAGAGAGAGAGACAGAGAGACAGAGAGACAGAGAGACAGAGACTTATTGAAACTCACTTATTGTAATTTGAGATTGTTTTTCTATTTTAGGAAGAGGTATTGGACTTCCCTGCAAAGACAGAATAATATAATGTGTATGGGGTAGCATTCAACTGCAGTCAGGCCAGAGGGATATATATATACACTATATATACATAGGTATGTGGGCACCCCTTCAAATTACTACATTTGGCTGTTTCAGCCACACCCGTTGCTGACAGGTGTATCAAATCGAAACCATGCAATATCCATAGACAAACATTGGCAGTAGAATGGCCTTACTGAAGAGCTCAGTGACTTTCAACGTGGCCCTGTCATAGGATGCCACCTTTCCAAGGTGTCAGTTTGTCAAATTTCTGCCCTGCTAGAGCTGCCCCGATCAACTGTAAGTGCTGTTAGTGTGAAGTGGAAACTTCTAAGAGCAACAACGGCTCAGCCGCAAAGTGGTAGGTCACACAAGCTCACAGAACGGGACCGCCGAGTGCTGTCTTCAGTTGCAACACTCACTACCGAGTTCCAAACTACCTCTGGAAGCAACGTCAGCACAATAACTGTTTGATGGAAGCTTAATGAAATAGGTTAATTGGGTTATTAAAGCCCATGATTTTGGAATGAGATGTTCGACGAGCAGGTGTCCACATACATTTGGTCATGTAGTGTATATATATATATATATATATATATATATATATATATATATATATATATATATATATATATATATATATATATATATATAAAATGCCATATCCTGCAGTGGATTCACACTTCCATTTTCACTGGTGGTGTCAGAGCGCTACAGTATTTAGTGGTATTAAGCAGGATTGTGTTGGTGCCAGAGAGCTACAGTATTTAATGGTGTTAAGCAGAATTGTGTTGGTGTCAGAGCGCTACAGTATTTAATGGTGTTAAGCAGGATTGTGTTGGTGTCAGAGCGCTACAGTATTTAATGGTGTTAAGCAGGATTGTGTTGGTGTCAGAGCGCTACAGTATTTAATGGTGTTAAGCAGGATTGTGTTGGTGTCAGAGCGCTACAGTATTTAATGGTGTTAAGCAGGATTGTGTTGGTGTCAGAGCGCTACAGTATTTAATGGTGTTAAGCAGGATTGTGTTGGTGTCAGAGAGCTACAGTATTTAATGGTGTTAAGCAGGATTGTGTTGGTGTCAGAGCGCTACAGTTTAATGGTGTTAAGCAGGATTGTGTTGGTGTCAGAGCGCTACAGGATTAATGGTGTTAGCAGGATTGTGTTGGTGTCAGAGCGCTACAGTATTTAGTGGTTTTAAGCAGGATTGTGTTGGTGTCAGAGCGCTACAGTATTTAATGGTGTTAAGCAGGATTGTGTTGGTGTCAGAGCGCTACAGTATTTAATGGTGTTAAGCAGGATTGTGTTGGTGTCAGAGCGCTACAGTATTTAATGGTGTTAAGCAGGATTGTGTTGGAAATAGAATCCCTATCTCCTCTCCAGCAAAGACGTCTTCAGATGTCACCCACCCTGTGATAATGAGAGTGTGGGTTTTCTGTGCTTTGTTAAAACTAATGTGGTCCTGTGTGGGCAGTAGAATATAACCGGCATTCAGCACGCCTGACAAGGACAGGAATACAATGGTTTGTCCCTCGCTGCTTTGTTCCTGATCACGTCACAGTTGATTAAAATTAGCATTTTCTAACACTACCCACATTCTAATGACATTCAAATGTATTTTTGTTTTGTTTACCTTTTGTAAAAAAGCCTGACTTGAGATATTGTCCATGCTATAGGCCTGTAGAAAAGCCTGACTTGAGATATTGTCCATGCTATAGGCTTGTAGAAAAGCCTGACTTGAGAGAGGTGCTTTCAAACACAGGCCAGCTCACTCCATATGCAAAGGAAGAGCTGAGTCAGTCCAGGCATACCTGAGAACATCTTACAGACAGCCTTGTTCTGTCTGCGTACAGAGCAGACCAGGAGCAGCCAGCTGGGGAAGAGGTGCTGGTGACTGGACAGGAGCTCCGAGATAGAGCTGCTCCTCCCTGTGCCCAACCCCCGGCCCTGCACCTCCGCCCGGCCCCACACCCCGAGCCAACCAAATACAAGGCTGCTCTGGGGAGGTCCAGCAAAGCAATAACACCGCCCTGCGAGAGAGAGATAGATAGAGAGAGATAGAGATAGAGAAGAGTAGCTGAGAGAAGAGAGAGAGATCTAGAGAGAGATACTGCATAGCTCGTTGATCTCTGCACTCTCTGCCTACAGCGACGTACAGGTAGCGCCATAATATCTCGCTGTCTCTCTCTCCCTTCTTCTACTCCTGTCTCCTCGCACTCTCTCTCTTCCTCCTCTCTCTCTCTCCTCTTCTCTGCTCTCTCTCTCCTCACTTCTCCGCCTCTGACTCTCGAGCGCTTCACCTGTCTCCTCTCTTTCTGTCCAATGGACTAGCTTTCACTCTTATACATATTGCATCCTTCATGCACTGTCTGAACCGGCAATGTGGACCGGTTGTGCTTCTGAGCACTTTCCGCTGTCATCCCATGGTCATATGACAATTGTCCCTGTCTCACACGCTGTTTCTCCCCCTTCTCTCTCAGTATCCCTCACCGTTTCCTTACCTGTCCTCCTCCCTCACCACATCCTTCATCCCTCCACTCACCCTGGCTCCTCCCTCACCCTGTCTCCCTCCCTCACCCTGTCTCCCTCCCTCACCCTGGCTCTCCCTACCCTGTCTCCCTCCCTCACCTGTCTCCCTCCCCTCACCCTTCTCCCTCCCTCACCCTGTCTCCCTCCCTCACCCTGTCCCTCCCCCCCCCCCTAACCCTGTCTCCCTCCCTAACCCTGTCTCCCTCACTCACCCTGTCTCCCCCCCTCACCCTGTCCTCCCCTCCCTCACCCTGTCTCCCTCCCTCACCCTGTCTCCCTCCCTCACCCTGTCTCCCTCCCCACCCTGTCTCCCTCTCCCTCCACCTGTCTCCCTCCCTCACCCTGGCTCTCCCTACCCTGTCTCCCTCCCTCACCCTGTCTCCCTCCCTCACCCTGCTTCTCCCTCCCTCACCCTGTCTCCCTCCCTAACCCTGTCTCCCTCCCTCACCCTGTCTCCCTCCCTCACCCTGTCTCCCTCCCTCACCCTGTCTCCCTCCCTCACCCTGTCTCCCTCCCTCACCCTGTCTCCCTCCCTCCACCTTGTCTCCCTCCCTCACCCTGTCTCCCTCCCTCACCCCTGCCTCCCTCCCTCACCCTTCTCCCTCCCTCACCCTGTCTCCCTCCCTCACCCTGTCTCCCTCCCTCACCCTGTCTCCCTCCTCACCCTGTTCTCCCTCCCTCACCCTTGTCTCCCTCCCTCACCCTGTCCTCCCCCCTCCCTCACCTTGTCTCCCTCCCTCACCCTGTCTCCCTCCCTCACCCTGTCTCCCTCCCTCACCCTGTCTCCCTCCCTCACCCTGTCTCCCTCCCTAACCCTGTCTCCCTCCCTCACCCTGTCTCCCTCCCTCACCCTGTCTCCCTCCCTCACCCTGTCTCCCCTCCCTAACCCTGTCTCCCTCCCTCACCCTGTCTCCCTCCCTCACCCTGTCTCCCTCCCTCACCCTGTGCTCTCCTAACCCTGTCTCCCTCCCTCACCCTGTCTCTCCCCTCCTCACCCTGTCTCCCCTCCCTACCCTGTCTCCCTCCCTCACCCTGTCTCCCTCCCTCACCCTGTCTCCCCCCCCTCACCCTGTCTCCCTCCCTCACCCTGTCTCCCTCCCTCACCCTGTCTCCCCCCCTCACCCTGTCTCCCTCCCTAACCCTGTCTCCCTCCCTCACCTTGTCTCCTTCCCTCACCCTGTCTCCCTCCCTCAACCTGTTCTCCCTCCCTCACCCTGTCTCCCTCCCTCACCCTGTCTCCCCCCCCCAACCCTGTCTCCCTCCCTCACCTTTTCCCCCCCCCCCTTTCCCCCCCCCCCTGTCCCCTCCCTCACCCGTCTCCCCCCTCACCCTGTCTCCCTCCCCCCCCCCCTCCCCCCCGTCTCCCCCCCCCCCTGTCTCCCTCCCCCCCCTTCCCCCTCCCTCAACCCTGTCTCCCTCCCTCCCCCTTCTCCCCCCCTACCCTGTCTCCTCCCTACCCCTGTCTCCCTCCCTCACCCTGTCTCCCCCCTCACCCTGTCCTCCCTCCTCACCCTGTCTCCTCCCTACCCTGTCTCCCTCCCTACCCTGTCTCCTCCCTAACCCTGTCTCCCTCCCTCCCTGTCTCCCTCCCTCACCCGTCTCCTCCCTCACCCTGTCTCCCTCCCTCACCCTTGTCCCCCTCCCTCACCCTGTCTCCCTCCCTCACCCTGTCTCCCTCCCTCCCTGTCTCCCTCCCTCACCCTGTCTCCCTCCCTCACCTTGTCTCCCTCCCTCACCCTGTCCTCTCCCTCCCTCCCTCCCTGCTCTCCCTCTTCCCTCCCTCACCCGTCTCCCTCCCTCACCCTGTCTCCCTCCCTCACCCTTGTCCTCCCTAGGCGGTAGATGTGATTCCTGACCTGTCTAAAAGCTCTGTGATTTCCTGTACCGCCCTGGGCACACACACAGAAACAGGACTGTAGTCTCTGCCAGCCCTCCTACAGCCTTCTTATCAAAACTATTAACCTCACCTGAGTCCATGTAGCAGCAGGCCCTATCTAGGAACTGGGATATCTACTGTGGACATCCTTTCCCCATCACCTCAACTCAGTCCTGGGCCCTTTGTGTGTACTGTGTGTGCTGTGTGTGTGTGTGTGTGTGTGTGTGTGTGTGTGTGTGTGTGTGTGTGTGTGTGTGTGTGTTGTGTGTGTGTGTGTGTGTGTGTGTGTGCAACATAATGAAGGTGATGACATTATGACCGTAGTCCCGTGTAGCTCAGTTGGTAGAGCATGGCGTTTGCAACGCCAGGGTTGTGGGTTTGTTTCCCACGGGGGGACCAGTATGAAAAAAAAATGTATGCACTCACTAACTGTAAGTCGCTCTGGATAAGAGCGTCTGCTAAAATGACTAAAAATGTACAAATGTTGTTTAAACACCGTCTCTCACCCTGGTAACAACATGCTGCGGCAGAGATAGAGACCTAATGAAGGGATACATGTGACATTTAAAAAAGGTTGTGTAACGATGTAAAGTGTTTGATGGGTTGAGTCTGTGTTAGAAGGCAGAAGAACAGAGACTTGGTCATTCACAACAATGGATTCACCACTGCTTAGATTATCTCTCTTAGAAGTTTCCAGAGGAAGGTGTCAGCTATCGTAAATATAAGACATAGCCTAGCGAACACAATTTTAAAGGCTGCAGTCCTTTTTTCATTACTCACACTGAACAATACACTCAGCTCAAGTTTTTGTGTAAAAGCACTTAGTGCCTTTTGACAGGGGATGTCAACGTCGGCTCCAGTCCAAAACATTTAGGCTACAGGTTTATCGCACGTTTGTGTGCCTTAGTGATATGATAAAAGAGAGGAACAAACGCTGTGTGTGTGTGTGTGTGTGTGTGTGTGTGTGAGCACATGCTGTGTGTGCCCAGAACCAGGTTAATGGCCCTTTAATTGACTCAGGGCATCCTGCCCCATCCTGTCCTCGTGGTACTGGCCGAAAGGCTGACCTTTGACCCCACAGCCCTGCTGTGATTGGACAAGGTGTGGAGACAAGCCTGACAACACCGGCCCTGTGAACCCTAATTGGTCCAAAGTATAGAGAAGTGATTTAAAACTGCCGACCCTTTTAGCTACGGGCCAACCTTGTGGAACAGCAGTTAGATAAGAGAAAATAGCCTTGTGGTTAAAAGGACAGTTAAGGACAAACTGTATGAACTCTACCACAGAATAAAGCTGTATGAAAGGCAGTGGAAAAGCCTTGTAAAAAAATTAGTAATAAAGCAATTCCCTAGAGGTGGTTGGGTCCACTAGCCACTGTTGATTGTTGACAGTGTAAGCTAAGCGGTTATGTGGCGTTAACGACTCTAATGGCTCCCGCTAGAATCTGTTCTAAACTAAGGATCCTCTGCATATGCTTTCACCGTCACTCCAAGCTCGTGTTTCCTCTGTTTGTCGAACCGCTGTTTAGTGTTCACATGACAGTGGCTCAAACCGCAGCCACTTTCTCTCACTCAGGCTCCAAACACACACACAGCTCCCTCCAGGCTATGGGTCAGTCCGAGGGCAATGTGGAATGTAGCCCTGTACACCAGAGACACAGCAAACAGAGGGAGAGAGCGTGACCGTACCTCCACCGTCCACAATCATCCCCCCAGAGTCAGCGCGACAGCAGCAGGCAGACAGAGGGTCCTCGTGAGAATGGTGACCTCACCAAGCGATACCAACGACTCCGTCTTTGTGACTCGAGGGAAGCATTTTTTTTCTCCCCCCGTCTTTGTTTCTGGTTTCTAAAAGGACGTGTCGTAAATAGCAGTGTAGCGTTCATTCAGACTGGAGGACCATTGTGAGAGCGCTGAATGGCTTGTATTATTAGGGGAGAAATAGATGAATATGTAAACAAATCGCTAGCTTTTTTTCTGTGGGACTTCTTTGTTTGACTGAGCAGCAACCAGCAGTGACAGGCTTTTAAAAGTACAGTGTTAAATGGAATCTGAAAGTTAATGGAAACTCCCTGTTATCTGAAGGAAGTAGTCAAGGACAGTTAGCTAGGAGAAGTGGTCTGCTTGGTGGTTGTGTGATTTATTTCACTTTCCAAATGCATTATGCTACTATGACTATTCATGTGCTACTGTGACAGTGTGACTATTATGTCAAATCAAACAATGGGTATATTTCCCAGACGTATTTATCCCTCTATCAATCTGAGTGACTCAATGTTTGAGTTTGAAATGTCTCTATAGAAATGTCACTTCCACAGACATTATTATCATTACTTATTGAATTCACATCAGAGCAAATCACAAAGCTGTCTAGATAAGTTGGTGATGCTAGGGGGCGTAAAGAGTACAGACCTTTTGAAGGTGTCGTCCGGGTCCCTCTGGCAGTGCAGGGTCTCCAGGGCGGGAGCCACCAAGGGGGTGTCCAGTGTGTCCCTGTACCCCAGGGGGAGGAAGGGGCTGGCCCTCAGCTGATCCACCAGGCCCAGGACAAACCTCCACACCGCAACGCTCCTCCCGTCCTCCCGCTGGCAGAAGTGAAACGCCAGGCAGCGGGGTGCCAGCCCGACCGCCAGCGCTGCATCCGAGGTGGGCCATACTGCCTCCGTGCATAGGGCTGTCTTCCCTGCCCCGGGGCCCCCAGTCACCAGGACCCCCGGGGACCGGCCGGGAGTGGACCTGGCCTCCAGACAGCGCCTGAGCTTTTCCAGGGCCCATTCCCTACAGTAGAAGCGGCGGCCCCGGAGCAGGCTGCTGCTATGGCTACTGTCACTCATCGGGCCCCTGGGAACCAACCAGGAGTCACTCCACCACAGGTCCCACACCCCATACTCCGCTCCCCAGTTCCTCTTACAGTTTCGTTTTTGATTTGAATGGACTGTACACCTCTGGCAGTGACAGGGTACTTTCCTTGAGTGTCCTGCGTCAGATGTTAAGATCTGGTGGCTCCTCCAGATACCATCCTAGTCTCTTAATCCTTCCCAGTGATCTGTGGTCAACTTGGATCAGTCCTCTGGACACTCAGGTGTGTGGAGAAAGATAATTTAATCTCTCCACAGGTTCCTCCAGCCAATCAGTGTGTGTCTGTCATTTCCACCTGGTCCTCAGGTTAGAAACACAAGGAAAAGGTCCATGAGCAGAGCTGCTGCTTCTACACGGTTCCAGTACCGACGCTGTCTTTCCCACCGCTGATCCTCTTCTCTGTCTGAGAGTGAGAGAGTGAGAAAAAAGAGAGAGACAGAGAGCGTGTCAGAGCGTGAGAGATTGCCAGGAGGGATCACTTTACCACAGATAAGATCTCCTAGTGTTCTCCCTCCCCTCCATAGTATCTGCTGCTGAACGCTTCCTCTCCTTTCTCTTCTTCCATTTGGCTCAAAGTTTCTTGCCTCTCTGTACAGTTGGCTCAGATGGAATTCCCTCCTCTTTCACACGCCCCCTCCCTCCCTCCCTCCCTCTCAGCTGCTCTCTCTCTCTCCCTCCCTCCCTCCCTCCTCTTTCACACGCCCTCTCCCTCCCTCCCTCCCTCCCTCTCAGCTGCTCTCTCTCTCTCTCTCTCTCTCTCTCTCTCTCTCCTTCTCTCTCTCTCTCTCAGCTGCTCTGATCTCTATCCTTCTCTCTCTCTCTCTCTCTCGCTCTCTCTCTCTCTCTCTCCCTCCCTCCCTCAGCATGTCAGGGCGTGTATTGAAGCAGAGCGGTGCGTCGGAGACAGGGAGGGAGAGAAAAGAAGAGAGAGCGTATTGGAACGAGAGGATCCAGGAGAGGAGGAGTTGGATTGCTTGTTTGGGGTCAAAGTTCATCCACACAGCATGCTATAACTGAGGCTATCACACCCCTCCTGGGTCCCTCCTGTCCAGGGTCTGGCTCTGGGAGGGAGGAAGAGAGGAAGATAGGGAGGGAGGGAGGGTGTGGATGAGCTCCAGAACTCCTGTCTAAGTACACCTCACATGGTTATTATTAAACAGATGTGATGAAACAGAACCCAGGCTGCTGTTACTGCAGGAATCAGGATGGAATGCTACTGCAGAATAGAGCCAACCTTTTACAAAGTCGCTGTTGTGAGGAAAGCATGCAAGGCTCAGAGAGGTGTTTTCAAAAAGCTACTTTCAAGTTTTTAACAGTTAAATTATTGTTTTATTATGAACTATCTATGAGGTAATAAAAAAAAACAAAAAAAACATGAATTTGGTAATTATCTGTGACATCCAGTAAATCTAGGGTATTTGTTCAAAGCCCTCTGTCAAGACATAACTAGTCTATGGAAGAATTGTGCATTACCCTATATTACTTCAGTCAATCAATCCATAATGTATCAAATCAATACATGAACCAATCAATCACATCAGCTTCTTTCAACTCAAATGCACATATAGGGTACTGAGTCATGTAGAATCTGTTTAAGTGATGTGGTCCCGTGGTGGAAGGATTTAGTTATGTACCTGATGGGTAGTGCTAAATTCACACAAGTGGCCCGACCACGTGATCTGCCGGTCTGATCACATGACCTACCCCGAAATGACAAAGATAGTAGAAACCAGCCGAAACCGAGGACGCTTGGATGAGCTGTAGACTAGCAGCACCGAAGGAAAATTGTCATTTCAGCTAGCTTGCCAGCGTGACTGTTCTATTGTAAGTAGCTAGCTAACTAAAAAAATTTGAGAAAAGTATTAACTAGCTACATCATACCATACATTTGACATACGATTATTGTGTAGCTAGTTAGCTAAATCTGTTTACTAGCTAACTAACTTAGCTAGTAGTAACAGTAGTGAAGTAGTCCAATATGTACACTGCTTAAGGGGCCCTCTGCCTGCCTAAATTGTTAGGCGTTAGCTAGCTAGCTCAGAACCAACGTAGCTACACTACATGACCAAAAGTATGTGGACACCAGTCGGCGTTCCATTTCATCCCAAAGATTTTCGATGGGGTTGATGTCAGGGCTCTGTGCAGGCTAGTCAAGTTCTTCCACACCGATGTCGACAAACCATTTCTGTATGGACCTCGCTTTGTGCACGGGGGCATTGTCATGCTGAAACAGGAACTTCCCCATACTGTTGCCACAACGTTGGAAGCACAGAATCGTCTAGAATGGCATTTTATGCTGTAGCGTTAAGATTTACATTCACTGGAACTAAGGGGCCCAGCCCGAACCATGAAAACACAGCCCCAGACCATTAATCCTCCTCCACCAAACGTTACAGTTGGCACTATGCATTGGGGCAGGTAGCGTTCTCCTGGCATCCGTCCAAACCCAGATTAATCCGTCGTACTGCCAGATGGTGAAGCGTGATTCATCACTCCAGAGAACGCGTTTCCACTGCTCCAGAGTCCAATGGCGGCGAGCTTTACACCACTCCAGCCGACGCTTGGCATTGCGCATGGTGATCTTAGGCTTGTGCGCGGCTGCTCGGCCATGGAAACCCATTTCATGTAGCTCCCGACGAACAGTTATTGTATTGACGTTGCTTCCAGAGGCAGTTTGGAACTCGGTAGTGACTGTTGCAACCCGAGGACAGATGATTTTTACGCGCTGTGTGCTTCAGCACTCGGCGGTCCCGTTCTGAGAGTTTGTGGCCTACCACTTCGTGACTGAGCCATTGTTGCTCCTAGACGTTTCCACTTCACAATAACAGCACTTACAGTTGACCGGGGCAGCTCTAGCAGGGCAGACATTTGACGAACTGACTTAATAATAATAATATGCCATTTAGCAGACGCTTTTATCCAAAGCGACTTACAGTCATGTGTGCATACATTTTTACGTATGGGTGGTCCCGGGGATCGAACCCACTACCCTGGCGTTACAAGCGCCGTGCTCTGCCAATTGAGCTACAGCATCCTATGAAGGTGCCACGTCGAAAGTCACTGAGCTCTTCAGTATGGCCATTCTACTGCCAATGTTTGTTTATGGATATTGCATGGCTGTGTGCTCGATTTTATACACCTGTCAGCAACGGGTGTGGTTGAAATAGCAAAATCCACTCATTTGAAGGGGTGTCCACATACTTTTATACACAGTGTTTTTATTATAGCTAACATCACAAAGCAATGACGGCCTAAATTGGCTATTGCATCATCGGAAATTGTCATCAGTCACTTATTTTTTGTCCACATTCCTGCATCCACAGGAAGAGACAAACAATGTGCCAGCACTTGGAAGACGCGTGTGAGGAGGAGATCAATGTGTTAAGTATGAAATCCCCCTCTCTGGGAGATGATGGGTAAAAGGATTGATGCTCATTTGAATTGTGGCCATACAGATGATGATGATGATGATGTCACATGATGTATTATTGTCCCCAGAATCAAAGATGGATGGCTATATTTTCTACTGTAGCATGCAAAGCAGACTGTAAAGGGGAGAATTGTATCTTTAAAACATTGATTGAAATGCAGTTAATATAACGTACAATGGTTTCCAAAAGCTGGCCTTCTTCATAGACTAGTTATTTGTGGTGAAGTATTGATGTTATGTCTAATGTATTTATTTAAATGTTTTATTAAAATGCATGGTTAACATACCATCACATTTCTTAAAATGTTGACGTATCTTTCTCAAAAAATCTATAAACATTTTTTGTCAGCAGTGATGTTGTGTTTTCACCAATACATTCCTCTTATACTGATCAGATGTGGACAGGACGATGTGATCGCTTTCAGCAGTTGATTGACGGTTTCTGTACCTTTTTACTTTCATAATGTTCACTGTAGGGGCAATAGGCTTACATTTAGTAGGGCATTGGAACAGGCTTACTGTAGCACACAGAGCAGTAGGATATTGAACAATGCTCTGGAATCTAGGCTCTGATATTACACTTTGGTTTTAGATTGTTTAATTCCATAGACGTTAACATTTTACACATAATAAAACAGCCCGAAGGAACACATTAAGCATATTTTTTTGGTCAGTGAGCAATGCAGAGGAAGTGACTCATAAACAGCTAAGTCAAGGCTCGTCTAACTTTGTATAAACATATTTTTTATGAACGTACGTTTGTGCAAACAATGAGACACAATACGATAAGGCAGTTAGCTAGTAGATAAGCAAATTAAACATTTATGATTGCTGTAACAATGGCTAGTCTAGCCGTTAGCTATCTAGGTTAGCTAGCTAGCGCAAACAGCTGTGCTGGGTTGAAGTCAGGGTAAACAAATCTTCGGCTCTTGGCAGGTCACATGATCAGACCAGCAGATCACGTGGTCAGGCCAGCTGTGTGAATTTAGCGCTACCTGTACCGGATATGTTAACAACTATCCTAGTCTACAGGGCAATCTGGGGTACTAACAGTGGTCGTTTCTTTTGGCCTTTACACATTTCTAGTAGACGTTTCACTCTAGCTTGTCAACAACACACCCCTTCCATTCAACTGAGGCAACTGATAGATACTGTGTAAAAGCTTGAGATAGACTTCGAATGATAAACCCTTGAAATTGAAATCAACCACTTTGTTGTTACATAGGCTAGGAAATTAAAGATACACTTTCAACTTTAAAATGTATTTATTTTATGACCATTACATAGCCTATGTCAATAGAGAGAGAGAAATAGTAATGGCGTCTTTTTGTAGGCACTAACTCCGTCACTCCAGCCGACGCTTGGCATTTCACATGGTGATCATGGACAAAGCCTATGGGGAAAATTAATGGCGTTTTTGTAGGACTTTGGGATAAACGCCGAAAATAAGGTCTGTGGTAAACATACAGTGAGGGGAAAAAAAGTATTTGATCCCCTGCTGATTTTGTACGTTTGCCCACTGACAAATAAATTATCAGTCTATAATTTTAATGGTAGGTTTATTAGTCTCCCGAGTGGCACAGTTGTCTAAGGCACTGCATCGCAGTGCTAGCTGTGCCACTAGAGATCCTGGTTCGAATCCAGGCTCTGTCGTAGCCGGCCGCGACCGGGAGACCCATGGGGCGGCGCGCAATTGGCCCAGGGTAGGGGAGGGAATGGCCGGCAGGGATGTAGCTCAGTTGATAGAGCATGGCGTTTGCAACGCCAGGGTTGTGGGTTTGATTCCCACAGGGGGTATGAAAAAAAAATGTATGCACTAACTGTAAGTCGCTCTGGATAAGAGCGTCTGCTAAATGACTAAAATGTAAATTTGAACAGTGAGAGACAGAATAACAACAACAAAAAATCCAGAAAAACACATGTTATAAATTGATTTGCATTTTAATGAGGGAAATAAGTATTTGACCCCCTCTCAATCAGAAAGATTTCTGGCTCCCAGGTGTCTTTTATACAGGTAATGAGCTGAGATTAGGAGCACACTCTTAAAGGGAGTGCTCCTAATCTCAGCTTGTTACCTGTATAAAAGACACCTGTCCACAGAAGCAATCAATTAATCAGATTCCAAACTCTCCACCATGGCCAAGACCAAAGAGCTCTCCAAGGATGTCAGGGACAAGATTGTAGACCTACACAAGGCTGGAATGGGCTACAAGACCATCGCCAAGCAGCTTGGTGAGAAGGTGACAACAGTTGGTGCGACTATTCGCAAATGGAAGAAACACAAAATAACTGTCAATCTCCCTCGGCCTGGGGCTCCATGCAAGATCTCACCTCGTGGAGTTGCAATGATCATGAGAACGGTGAGGAATCAGCTCAGAACTACACGGGTGGATCTTGTCAATGATCTCAAGGCAGCTGGGACCATAGTCACCAAGAAAACAATTGGTCACACACTACGCCGTGAAGGACTGAAATCCTGCAGCGCCCGCAAGGTCCCCCTGCTCAAGAAAGCACATATACAGGCCTGTCTGAAGTTTGCCAATTAACATCTGAATGATTCAGAGGAGAACTGGATGAAAGTGTTGTGGTCAGATGAGACCAAAATGGAGCTCTTTGGTATCAACTTAACTC